TATATATATATATATATATATATATATACACACACACACACAATATGGGATCTGGTGGCAGTTGCCAAGGCAAGAAAGTATAACACAGCAATACATTCCTACTGCCAATAATTATTTACACTGACAAGCACCTTGTTTTAAAATATTGTCGGGATATTTTTTAGCAATATTTGTACTGCTTTTGTTTCAACAGGGGGCCCTCATATCAAGTTACTGCAGAGAATGCAAAACATTGTTTACAGAATTACTGCTTTAATGAATATTTCTCATGTAAATTTTCATTTAATGTAGGCCTACATACACAGGCATCGTTATTGGGGAAAAGAGGGACAGAATACAGAGCCCAGAGCGATTGGGGGCCCCACAACGATTCCCCAATTTCTAATAGAAATCATTGCAAAAAAATTCATTCAGTAACATACAATTGCCATCAGTAGGCAAATCATAAGTCATGACATATGGGATGCATTCCATCAAATGTGTTGTTAATCTAATTAAGTTGCAGTGGACCATATGTAGAAACATGATTATAAGTATATAAAAATCTGTTTAGTTGTTTATGTTTAATGATGTTGTATTTACAATGAATTTAATGCAATAAATGTCATTTTGATGTGCTTTAATGTAGTGTGGAGCATGGAGCGTGTGCGAACTAATCATCTCGTCCTCTTTACTACTAGTTATAGCATGAAATAAGATGTTATGCTGAAATGCAGTGCAACTTACTGAAATATATAATCTCTGGTGTAATTCGACCAGTCATTGTTTTAGCACTATATATCACCCGAAGTTATATTTACCTCAGTAAGTCATTCAATGTCCACAGCTAAAAAAATAAAACTTCAGGGAAGAGCACATCACTGAAATTGTGTGTGCATTGTTAAATATGCACTATATTATACATACACTACATTTGTTTGACTTAACCTATTAATAATAATAGTTTAACATTTTTAAAAGCTATTTTCTCAAAAGAAAAAAAATCACTGTGCTTCAGGGTCACAACACTATTAAAAATAAAATGTATTTATTGGCATCAGTGGTTCCATTAAGAACCTTTAACATACGGGACCTTTCCATTCCACAAAAGGCTCTTTATAGTGAAAAAATTTTCTTTTTAAGAGAACCTTTAAAATGTTGCCAGCAAACCGAATTTTGTTCATTAATTATGGGTTTGGCATCATTAAACTAAGGAAAAAACAACAGCTAATGCATATGATTATGTAAATTTTTGGTTTCTTATTTAACCAGTGGGCATAAGACATTTTATCTGATCACTAGAGGGAGGGTCGAACTGCTCCTGCAATCTGTCCTGAAAACTACACCATGTTCTCTGCAGTTTTAGTCTTGCTTCTGGCAAGTGTAAACTGTAAGATATTTTTCGGAAACATCAATTTTTAGAATACAATTTTCTTGCATTGTTAATAATCACTGATCTGAATGCGCTTTTGTATTTCTCTTATTTTTTTCCAACACGTATTGATTCATATGAACTCACTCAGCCTGAGTCTCTAACTGTTCGTCCTGATGCCACTCTCACCATCAACTGTAAAGTCTCATATTCAGTTACAAGCTATACTACAGCCTGGATTCGTCAGCCTGCAGGAAAAGCTCTGGAGTGGATTGGATTGATTGACTCTGCTGGAAACTTAGCCTACAAGGATTCCCTGAGAAACAAGTTCAGTATCACCAGAGACACTTCTAGTAACACAATAACACTGCAAGGAAAGAATATGCGAGCTGAAGACACAGCTGTGTATTATTGTGCCAGAGCATCACAATGCCTGATGGCAACAGCTTCCCTGTACAAAAACATCATCGTAATACAAATAAGAGTATATATAAGAGTATATAATATATTTATAGTATAATATTTAATCAACAATCTAAATAAAAGATAGATAGATAGATAGATAGATAGATTTGTGTCCCATTTAGAGAGAATTCTGTATTAGGCATATAACAGTAAACGAAGAGATACATATTCAGAATATAATTAATAAATGTTTTCATCACTCACACTGGTAATGGTTTATATTGTAATTTAATAGTTTGGCCTATCAGTCATGATTGCACCTTGTGACCCTCCCAATGCAAATCAAATCAACCCTGAAAGTGTTACATGTGGATGGGACATGTTAATAGTGACAGCAGTGGCAATGACTTACTCTGAATCCTTCAAAGGTCGAACTGAAATCACCAGAGATAATTCAAAGTGTATGGTGTATCTGAAACTATCAGGCCTGACAGCAGAAGACTCAGCCGTGTATTACTGTGCAAGAGACTCACAGTGACACGAAGGGGTTGTACAGCTGAACAAAAACCACACTGGCTGTTTTATCTCGTTACTAGAAGTCAACAGGTGGCAGTAGAGAATAAAACATCTATAAAATGCAGCCTAATGAGATGATGTCACTGGTGACCATGTACAGTGAAGTTCACTAAAAGCTCAACACAACATGTGTCTTTTGATGTGTAGATTTGTGGTAGTGGTTTTACACGTTACAGTGGCAAACTAAAAATCAGATTTTTAAGTTACTAGAGACTCTTACAGGAGCAAAACAACTCTATAAGGACAGAATATGACGATTAAGGACACAGCAGTGACTTACGATGCACGAGAGTGAACACAGTGATAAACCACAAGCAGTTCTTCTCTAAGTGAAAGTGAAAGTGACGTGACATGTGGCCAAGTATGGTGACCCATACTCGGAATTAGTGCTCTGCATTTATCCCATCCAAAGTGCACACACACAAACCATGAACACAAACCCGGAGCAGTGGGCAGCCATTTTTTTGCTGCGGTGCCCGGGGAGCAGTTGGGGGTCCGGTGCCTTGCTCAAGGGCACCTCACCGTATTGAAGGTGGGAGAGAGCGCTGTACATTCACTCCCCCCACCTACAATCCCTGCCGGTACGAGACTCGAACCC